TAATTTTATAAAATTTAAAAAAATTTAAAAAGAATAAAGAAAAAAAAAATATTTCATAATAATTTCAATTAAAAAAAAACCCTCTTTTTTTTTAAACTCAAAAAGAAAAAGAACTTTATTTGAAATGAGTGCACCTGATATTGATAATCCAAAATTACATTGTAGAATGTTAGAACAAAAATTTCCTAATGAAGATGACCTTTGTTTAGTTACTGTAGTATCTTCAAGTGAAATGGGAACATACGTTGCATTAAAGGAATATGATGATATTCAAGGTATGATTCCTATGTCAGAATTATCAAGAAAAAGATATAAACAAACTCGTTTAACACGTGTTGGAAAAGAAGAAGTTGCTACAGTTATTCGTGTAAATTCAGAAAGTGGATTTATTGATCTTTCATTAAAACGAACAACTCCAGAAGAAAAATCAGCATTTCTTACAAAATATACAAAGAATAAAGAAGCACATTTAATTATGAGATTAATTGCAAAAAAAGCTGATGTTTCAATGGAAGAATTATATACTATGTTTGGATGGCCATTAGCTAAAAAATATGGTACTCTTCATGATGCTTTTAGAAAGAGTTTAACTGAACCTGATGTTTTTGAACCATATGGAATTCCAGCTAATATATTAGATGCATTACATCAAACTATTTCACATTATATGACTATTCAACCATTAAAATTCCGTGCAGATATTGAAGTAAGTTGTTTTGCAATTGGAGGAGTTGAATCAGTTAAAAGAGCATTATTAAAAGGTGTAGAATGTGCAGGTGATTCCGGATTAGTTATTAAATTAGTTTCATCTCCATTGTATGTATTATTCCTTACTCTTCCGGAAAGACAAAAAGGAATGGAAATAATGTATGCTGCAGTTGCTGCTATTAAAGCACAAATTGAATCTGAAGGAGGATCTTGTGTAGTAAAAAGAGATCCATGTGTTGTTTCTAAAGAAGAAGAAATTGAAGAAAATGAAGATACAACTGAAGATGCTAATTCTCAAGATGCAGAAGATGAATAAATTTTTTTAATTGAAACAAATTTTAATTTATAAATCTTTTTGGATTATTTTAAATTAGAAATAATAAATGAATTTGAATGATGTATTACAATGAATTAAAATCAAGATTGGATATATACCATTTCTTATAATGTGTTCCTATAAAAACTAAACAATGAATTACTCCAGGTAACCAGAAGAAGAAAGTTAAAATAATATTTATATAAACTGGTAATGAACATTTATTCATAAGTACTATTGGCACAGGTGGACATATAAATGATAGAAACATTAAACACCAACATTTTAAATGACAATACATCAAATAAAAAATTTTTCAAATTATTAGTTTTTATAAAAGGGTTTAAATTCTTTCGTATTTAAAAGCATTATTGCTTTTTCTTTTTAACTCAAACTATTCAAAGGTCTTTAATGAATAATCTTATTTATTTTATTAGGTTCTTTTAACTTTATAAAAGAAGATAAATTCAAGAAATAAAGAATATTTAAATGTATTTAGTTTATTATTTTTTATATTATTTATTCTTTTTTTTTGTGTACATTTTTAATGTAATAAAAAAATTGTATTAGAAAATTTGAATGTCATAACCACAAATAACAATAAAACTAAATTAGATTAGAAATCAAAATGAGTAATTGCATATGTTCTAAAATGATTACAAATATAATACTCTGCATAAATAATACCTGGTACCCAAAGTAATAAACAAAGAACTAAACTAATCCAAAACTCTTTTTTAAATTTTCTCATTATTAATATTGGAAGAGGTGGAAGTATTATTGCAATTAATCCAAAGAGAAAACATTTTCCACTTGTATACATCTCTTTATTTGAAATGAATAGATTTTAATTTTAAAGATTTTTTAAGTTTAATTTGAAAATAGACTTCTGTTGCTTTGAGTTGTAAAAAGAATTTTAAAGAGAATTTTCTAATTAAATTTCAGTATTTCCTTTTTGTTGTTAAAAACATTGTATAAATTCTTTTAAATAAAAAGTAATTAATTAAGTATT